TCGCCAAGTTAGCGGTAAGCCCTCTACACTGAGTGACTCTGTTCGCTATGTGAACTGCGGCTTTATTGCTGACAAATCGGCCAAAGTCGAGCCCCTGGCGTGAGCACTTTGAGCACCATCTCAACTTCGATACCCAACCTACATCGCCCTTGCTCTCCTCCTCAGCGGAGTTTCTTCCCTCTCTTACCTATTCAACGCCATGCGATCCCCCCTCAGAGGAAGAAGTCGCCGATGCCATACGAAAGTTGCGTAACAACAAGGCACCCGGAGAGGACGGTATACCCACTGGAATTTGCAGGTCTTGTGTCGACACTGGCGCCCTTGCTCCATAAGGTGATTGAATATGCTTGGAGAAACGAGGTTGTTCCTGATCACTGAGGCTTAGGCATCCTTGTACCTATCCTCAAGAAGGGAGACAAGACGAGATGCGAGAACTACCGCAGCATAAATCTCATCGGCTTTGCTGCGAATATCTTCGCTATTGTCTTACTCAGGCGATTCCAGGGTGTACGTGACTCAAGGACGAGGCCCAACCAAGCCAAAACTCGTGCTGGACGTGGATGCACAGGTCAGATATTCACACTGAGGCGCATTCTTGAATTTCACCATAGCTACCAACAACCGATGGCCGTCTGCTTCGTTGACTTTGCCGCCGCGTTCGATTCCGTTCACCGTGAGTCCCTGTGGCGGATAATGGCGCTAGATGGTGTACCGGCAAAAATCATCGCCACGATCAAGGCCTACTGTCGCTCCACTACTGCGAGAATCCTGGTCCGCAACAATCTTTCTCAACCGTTCGGTATTCGGTCTGGCGTCCGACAGGGTTGTATCCTGTCACCCATACTGTTGAACTACGCTATTGACTGGATCCTCGGGAGGGCCCTCGCGACAGTGACGGCGTTGAATTTGCACCCGGACATCGACTGAGTGATCTCGACTATGCCGATGATATCGCCTTACTTGCTTCAAGTTTTAGTGATCTGCAGTCTATGGTGTCACGGGTGAACG